CCATCCATCCACCCCCCCATCCATCCATCCATCCACCCATCCATCCATCCATCCACCCATCCACCCACCCATCCATCCATCCATCCATCCACCCATCTACCCACCCATCCATCCACCCATCCACCTGCCATCCATCCACATATCCATCCATCCGTCCATCCATCATCTATCCTCCCATCCACTAGCCATCAATCCGCCATCCACCCACTCATCCATCCATGTGTCCATCCATCATCTCTCCACCCATCCATTCTCCATCCATCCCCCTGTCAACCCACTGTCCACCCAACTCCTCCAGGATATATCGAGCAGCACTTGTGTGCTGGCTTGTGTCAGGGGCTGTGTGTGTGTGGAGAGGGAGAGATACCCTCCTTTACTCGAGGAGTCCGAGAGCAAGTACGGGGAGCGAGGTGTCCACAGGGCTGACAGGCCTGTAGGAGCTACAGATGGCACTGGCAGCACTGCTCTGCACTTGACTGTAGTCCCAGGGCCCAGCCGTGGTCATCTCTACCCAGTGAGGTGCCTTACAGCCCGGGGATACCCAGAGACCTTGGGGTTTGGCCTTAAGACCAGGAAAGAATATTCAGATCCCAGACCTATCTCTGCCTTGGTTCAGGGGTGGGTGGCCCAGGCTTGCTCCTGGTTCTTGGCTTTCACCCAGCACTCCCTGACGACTGTGCCCTTGACCACTGCACCTAATGGCCATTCTCTTGTTTCCACAGAGTGACTTGTTGGATGTCAATCAGATCATCAAGGACTTGGCCTCCATGGTGTCAGAGCAAGGAGATGCCACCGGTGGGTACCCGTGCTACCCTCTGAGCACCTGCCCCCCATGGCCATGTGCCCTTCCCCCCAGGTGTAGGCAGGGCTGCCTCCCAGACAAACGAGAGCCAGGGCGGTTCTAGAGGTCTGAGCCTCTGCTGCCCTCCCTCTCTGTGTCCCCAGGTGTCCCCAGCCCCTCAGGAAGGCTGGGTTTGGAGAGGCTCTTGTAAGAGGGTGGCCCACCTTTTCTGCTCATTGCGGAGTCTGGGCCTCCATGCCTCCCACCCTGGCCTTCCTCCCACCCGAGGACTCTCCAGGGTGAGGACAGACTGTGCTGGGTGGGGGAGGGGGTCAAGGCTGCAGCTTGTGACCCAGCAGAGAGCGCTGGACATGCGGAGCCCAGAGCCGCCTTGGGGGTTACATGTCTCAGGAAATGGGTGTGGTGGGGGCACCGGGGGGGACCTGGTCCTGGTCTCTGTGTTCCCTCCATGTGAGGATGTCGGCCCCACCTAGCCTGTCCTCTCCAGTCCAGGTGGCCACGTGGTTCTTCGGCTACGGCCCTGAGTGCCTGGGAGGCCGGGGGGATGGGGGGCAGGTAATAGGAACCGTGGGTTCCTGGCCCAGAAGTATAGGGCCGACTCCTGGCACTAGAGCCACTGGCCAGCACTGCCAGCTCCCAGCCAGCCTCTGTCACCTGCTCCGTTCCCAGGTTCTGAGGTCTGTGTGTGTCCTGCTCCCCGCAGGGCAGCCCAGCCATCCCCCTGCTGCACCCGCAGAAGAGGAAGGGACTGGGGAGTGCGGGGCCTGCTGCCCAGCATGCTTGCCTTTCACTCTTTCTCCGAGCCTGGGCTGCGTGCAGGGCCGTGCTCCAGGGTGTGCAGTGGGTGCCCTGGCAGGCCTCGCGTTGCTTCCCCCAGACCCCTGCCTGCCTGGGCTGCATGTCCTCTTGCCTCGCACCCCTGTCGGCCTCAGTGTGGCTGTGGCCGCTGTTACTACCTCCTCCGACTGCCTCTGGACGGGGTGTGCTGAGTGTTCTGTCTACTCCAGATGTCACCCAGGTGGTCATTCAATCCCAGGGACAGACTAGTTGGGAGGGGCAGGTGCAGAGGGGAGGAGGGGCAGGCAAGGGCTGAGTCGCGGCCACCGTGGTCAGGGCCTGGGGACCTTGGGGCACCTGGAGTGGAGCACCAGGGGCCAAGAGCTGCTGGGACCTGAGGACCCCACCGTGTGCTGCTGTGGGCGGTTTTACTGTGCTGGATGATGGGCAGGGGCCCGTGTGCCTCTCTGCAGGGACAGTGGAGGCCATGAGCTCGGTGTCGCTCGGCTGGGGCCTGCCCCCCCACCCCCCTGGCTGGCCACTGGCCTCTGCCTGCCCCTTCAGCCTCTGGTGCCTTTCCAGGGTCCGGCAGCAGCAAGGCCACGTGCCGGCAGAGCTCCAGCCCTGAGCCCACCGTGGCGGCCCCGCTGCCCAGGCTGGGCTGTGCGTCCCCGCAGCAGGGCCTCCACTCCCGCACCAAGACGCGCAAGCCCAACTTCAGCCCCCAGGAGACGGAGGTGCTGGTACGGAGGGTGACGCGCCACTACCCGCTGCTGTTCGGGGCGCTGCGGGGCCCGCCCTCCCGGAAGCACCGAACATGGAACAAGATCCTGCAGGCGGTGAACGCACTGGGCCACTGCCGGCGCGACCTGGGCGACCTGAAGCACAAGTGGCGGGACCTGCGCGGGGCTGTGCGCAAGAAGCTGGCCGAGCGCCCGCCGGCCCCCGGCCTCCCGCTCACCCCTGTCGAGCGCATGGTGGCCGAGACCTTCTCAGCCCCAGCCCCCGCCGGCGAGGGCCAGGCCGCCGAGCCCCTGCCAAGTAAGTGAACTCCCTGGGCCTGCCCCCGTGCTGGGGGTCCGGGGAAGGGCCCCAGGGAGTGGGACCCTCAGGGGAGGGCTGGGGGCCTGTAGGTCTGCCCACTGCCCACGTGGTAGTTCTCTGCTTCCAGCTGGGGAACTGAGCCTGGGGTCAGGGCGGAGCCCGTCCACCTGGGCGGCCGAGGAGCTGGGGATCAGAGCCAGGCTCTTCCTGGCCCCAAGCCGGGAGCCCTGCTGGGGGTCCCCCCACCATGATCTAGCACAGCCGAGGGCCTCCAGAGGCTCAGGGAGCGGAGGACAAGGGGCCACGTTTCCCTCCCTATCCCGACCTGGTGCCACTCTCCCGGTGTGGGGGAGGGGCCTCCCCTTCCCATGCGCTCATCATGGGGGCTCTTCTCCCTGGGGTCACTCAACCCCCAGACCAGGGCAGTCTCCAGTGGCTCCCCGCTTCCCAGGGTACACTGACCCCCCGACTCTGAGCCCATGTGCCCGCCTGTAGGGCCCCCCCTTTGCTGGAAGTTTCTGCACCTGGTAAGGAAGGCCTAGGGGGCGTGATGGGGTCTTCCCTGCCACGCACAGCCCCCTCCGGCCCCCAGGGGTGCTGGCTTGGACTTCTGCTCGCCACCGCCTTCCATGCCTCCTGCCGTTCCTCCTCCTCGAGACGCCTCGGAATGTCCCAGTCAGGCTGCTCGCGGTGGCTGCACCCCTGCTCTCGGTTGACACGGACTCTGCCTCCTGAGGAGCTGTTGGACGCACCTTAGGGACGAAGCCAGGAGCAGGACCAGCCCTCCTGAAGGCCACACAGTGCAGCACAGGACTCAGCCTGCACGCAGGCGCGCCGGCGGGTGGCCCCGGTGCGGCTTGTACAGGCCCGGCGGAAGACGTGCGGACACGCCCTTCCCCGGCACTGGCCTTGCTCGTGGGCCTGGGGGACGGCGCGGGATGGGGCCAGCCTCTCAGGCCGGGGGAGGCCGCCACATTCTGCTAGAGACAGAGCCAGACCCGGTTTTGGGGTGCACATTGGGGTGCCTGGGCCCACCCCACGAGTCCCCAGCCCTGCAGCCCGGCAGGAACTTGGTGACCGTGTTGCTCCTGAAGGTCGCTGGTGCTGGCTCAGCAAACTGGCTCATGGTGGGGTCCAGTCCAGCACAGACGTCCCAGCCTGCGCGGCTGGGCTGGGAGCCCCCTTCCCTAGACCCTGCAGGCCCCGGGCTCGCCTCCGTCACAGTGGCAGTTGACTGGTCCCTTAGTGATGGGAGCCCCTCCTGGGGGTGTGCGTCCTGGGCTGACTGTCGCCGAGTGGAGGGTGAGGGAGTGGCCTGGGGCCGGACCTCCCTGGCAGGGCTGAGTGTGGGTCGGGGAAGTGGCTGCAGACCCTGATTTGGGGTGGGAGGTGATGGCAGAGACGACTGCAGCGTGTCACACCAGTTCTTCTGTCTGGGTCAGCGGTGGCCGGTGCCTGGGCAGGGGGAGGCCTGCAGGGGCTCCTCGTGGCCACGGGCTGTGGATAGCCCGTTGCAGAGTTGGGAGCCTCTGCGGGGGGCTGAGCAGGCAGCTCTCTGTGCCTTGAGGCGCACCCCTGCTATTCTGAATGTTTGGGGAGTGGTGCTGGCAGGAGGTTCTCGCCCCTGCAGGCCTGGCCCAGAGTCTGGGCGCCCTGTAGTCTCCGGAGCAGAGCCCCTGCACAGGAGTGGGGGTGAGCGGGGGGCACCCGTAGATCTGCCCCAACCAACCCAGGGTCTTCAGGAGGGAGCAGAAGTGGTTCAGGGCAGATGAAGCCTCAGAGTGAGCAGGCCAGGTGGTGGGGGCTGCCCAGTAGCCCCTTGGGGAGGGAGCCGGCCGCGGGGGCAGGTCTGCTTAGTATGGCAGCCCAGGGCAGAGCCGGGTCCAATCTGGGGAGCGCTCCGTGGGCTGGGCACGTTCGTTCTTGGCCCGAGGTGGGCTGGGCTGTGGGCTCGCTCGTGTCTCCAGGCCGTCGCTTGCTGTCAGAGCTGGTTCCCAGCGTCCCCAGGGCCTGCGCTGGAGGCCGACCAGACTCGGCTTTCTTGGAGCCTGAGAGCAGGGTGCAGGGCAGCCCAGGCTCTGTCCCCGATGCTGCCGTCTGTCTGCGCGGAGGTAGTCGCTCCTGTCTTGGGCGTCCGTCTCTAACCTCCGCAGGAGAAGGGCGGGGCTGCCGCTGCCCAAGGCCTCGGGGTGCGAGGTGGCTCCTTGGCACGTCAGCGGGGCCAAGGCAGGACCAGGGACCTGGATGGCAACTGGGCAGTCAGTGCTGCAGGTGGGGGAGAAGCAGGGGTGCCCCAGCACGAGAAGAGGTAAAGCCCTCCTTCCTCTCCTCCTAGTGGGGCTCAGCCTGGAGGGGCTGGGGGAGGGAACCCCGGAGGAGACAGTAGCCCCTCAGAGCCATCGCCGGGCAGAGGCTGGGCGCTGCCGGTGCCTGCATTTGCCTGGGCGTCCCCTGCCACCGCGCTCTGCTCCGGGCTGGGCGTGTCGCGGTGCAGGGGCGATGGAAGAGAGAGCTCGGGCTGTTTCTGCCCCCCGCTTCCTTTGAGCTTGGAGCCCGTCTCCTTCTCCTTGAAGGAGGAGCTGCGTGTTAACGGCAGCCGGTGTCACGGCTGCTGGCCTGCGAGGAGACTGCCTCGTGCTGCGGCCACCTTCTCGCTCCGTCTCGCGTTACCGGGATCCCTGGGGGTAGAGGAGGGCACGGTGTAGACCCGCCCGTCGTCGGGATTCACACCCAGCTCCTGATGTGGAGGATGTCGCCGTCTTCACTCACCATCGCTCTGCGTGTCTCCGCGGCCTGGCCTTGAGCTCCGAGCGGGTCCAGTTATGAATTTGGCGCGTTTTTACCGCTGGGATCGCGGCGTGCAGTGCTTCATTTCCTGGGGCTGCTCTGGGGCGCGTGGGGGTGGCTTGACTGTGCCGCCGGTGGGACAGCTCAGCGCCACGTTGACACCCCTACCCGGCGCGTGCCTGAGGCCCCACACTGACGACCGAGCCGATCGGCCACGGTCCGGAGACCTTGGGCCGGCGCAGTGCTTCCGGCCCCCTGCGCCTTTGCTCCCAGCCCAGGCAGGGGGTCCTCCCCGTGGCTCCACAGGACCCACAGAGGCAGGTCCCCTGCTCCTTTCTTGGAGGCAGGGGCCGTGGTCAGGAGCAGAAGGACTGGCCCAGGGCACAGAGGAGTCACCTCTGTCCAGGCTGGCCTCCATCCTCCCGAGTGAGCTGCCCCTGCCCCTAGGGGCACCTCCTGATGGCTCTGGTGGCCAGTGCCTACGCCAGCCAGGTGGGCCGGCGCTCCATCCCTATGGCCTCTGCCTTTCTGGAGGCTGGCCTCCTCGCCTGGCCTCCAGTAATGCCAGCATGGGGTCTCTGTGAGCCCGGGTTAGGGCAGCAGCCCTCCACCCCACCCCATCTCTGGGCCTGGGCTCCCCAGGGCTCGCCCTTGGGGTGTCCTCAGGGTCACAATCTGTAATTCTTTCTGTTGTCTTGATTTGCAGATAGTATTGAAGCCAGCCTTGAGGCTGCGTCCTCGCACACAGAGGCGGCCAGCGAGCTCCTGGCTGGAGCCAGCCGGCATCAAGTAAGTCAGTATGAAGGGACGGGCCCGGCTGGCCCATGTTCCCCTCTGTCCCGTCTCCCTGGGAGGCCTAGGCCCTGCCTTGTACTTGGGAGGGCGCGCCCACAGGATCTTCTCAGAGCCAAGGGGGACTGGTGCAGCAGAGGGGAGAGGTAGGGCTGCGGGGTCTGCACCCCTGCCGAGGCAGGCGGCCCAGCCTTGGCCCAGCTGGCTTAGTGGAAGGTGGAGGGCAGGGAACTGGTCGTGTGAACAGAGCCCGTGTCGGGGATCTCACTGCTGTGGGCGCCCAGGAGCGTGATCGCCAGGCTGCCTCTCCGGAAAGCTCTGTGGTGTCTCTTGTGCCCAGATGGGCAAGCTGGGGTCGGTGGGGTCTGTCCCCTTCCTCTGACCCTCCTCTGACCCTCCTGCCTGCACCAGCTACCCAGGCCCCCGTGCGGCTTGGGGCTGCCTCTGGCCGGGCTCTGGTCTGGAGGCTTGGATGGGCTGCCCCTTCTTAGAGCCATCAGAGCCTGGCTTGGGGCAAGTTGGCTGCTCAGAGGGAGTGAGAGCAAACATCAGGCCCTCATCTTCTGGCGATGGGGCTTCGAGCAGCCCCGGGGACTGACGGCCGGCCCTCTGTGCCACCCGCCGCTGCTGTGTGAGCACCTGATGGGGCCTGGCAGGCTTCGGCCTTGATGCAGATGGGAGGAGGGCCGGCAGCCGTCCCCCACTCCCTCCTCACTCACTCACTGGCCCTTTGCTCCGCGCTGGGCTCTGACACTCAGGGATGGACACTGTAGAGCCTGTCTCTCCGCGAGGGGGCATCCCCGGGGGAGGGTGGAGTAGATGGTCCAGTCCAGTGAGAGGAGGGCTCTGGGCCGCCGGGGCAGGCAGACTTTCCCGGGAGGGCGCGCGCTCCACTTTGAAGGCCAAGTAGTGATTGTCCTGGTGGAGGGGGCGGTGCGCTCAGAGGCGGAAGGGGGAGCCACCCAGGCCGGCTCAGGACCCGGGGGCTGGGGTGCGAGCCCCGTGCGGGGGCCGCGGTGGGTGGGAGCTGGGCGCAGCACCCTGGGGAGACCGAGGCGGATGACACCCTCGTTCTCTGGGGTCTCCGGGAAGTCACAGCTGGTGTTGGCGTCCCGTCTCCTGCATCGGCGGCCCTGGAATGAGAAGTCGGGCTGACAGACAGTCAGGAGCCCGTGAGAGCCGGCGAAGAACCCGGCTGGGCCAAGGTCTTGTCCGCAGGATGGGAGCGGAGGCAGGCTGGCGCCAGCTCGGGGCTCACTGCCTGGCCCACGGCCCCCGCAGCTTGCAGCACACGGAGAGCAGCCAGGCCCTCCAGCTGGAGCCTCTCCGCCAGGCCTGGTCCTTCTGGGGCCCTCCCGGAGTGGAAGGTGCAGGTCGCAAATGACATGCAGGGCAGACGTGCCTGAAGCTCAGGGCCCGGCGTCCCTCGGACGGGAGCTGTTCCAACGGCAGGGCCTGCAGGCGCCCGCCCTACCGCGGCAGCTTGAGAAGGAAGCACCGAGCCGGCCGGTGGCTGCCTCTGGGAACCGCCGGGGCCGGCCGTCAGCGGGATCGGGTGCCAGGACTGCATGCGAAGACCCGGCCATGAGGAGGAGGAGCGGCAGGAGGACTCAGAGGCGGCGCCGGGGGGCTCCTCTTCGGGCCCAGAGCCCCACCCCCGTCCCATTCCTGGGGAGCCCACTGGATCCTGCCCTCCGGTGACCCGATCCCTACCCCATTTCCGCTGCGGAGCGGTAACGCCTGTGCCACAGGTGAGGCGAGGCAGGCCCCGACGGGAGGCACGGCCACGCGGCGGCCGCACGGGAACGTCCCGCTAATCGCCGGCCTGGCGGGGAGCACACTACACGGCGCAGGCCCAGGCCTCAGGTCCAGGTTTTCCCTGAGAAGTTGGCTAGTGTCCCCCCCCTCACCTGACGAGAGAGAGGGGGACGTCCCTACATCCAGGTGTTGGGGCTTGGCGGTCCAGGGAGGAGCAGGGCTTCCCCCAGCTGTGCAGCTGTCGAGGGGCGGAGCCGTTTTGCAGCCGAGGCTCTGGGATTCCTGCCCGGGACTGGTCCTGCCGCCCTGGGGAAGCTCTGGTGCCCCCTCCCCTCCTCCCGGAACACCCACTCGTGGGAGGGCCTGGAGATCGATGGGTGGGGCTGGATGGGTGGAAGGATGGATGATTGTGTGGGTGCACAGAGGTGAGGGTGAACGGAAGGATGGTTGGGTGGGCGATGGGTGGGCGATGGGTGGGTGGACGGTGGATGGGTGGTGGGTGGGCGGGTGGGTGGACAGCTGAGCATGAGGAAGGAGGAGAAAAGAAGGGAAGAGGACGGTTGGATGTTGGATGAAGAAATCGACGGGCAGGTAGATGAGTGGGTGGTGTTGTGGTGGAACAGATGGACAGACGGGGTGGTGGACAGACAGCAGCCAGCTGGCTGGACATATGGACAAGTAGCAGGGCACCGAGGCTTCGCAGTTCCAGGCTGAGGTGAGGACCTCAGTGTTACTGGAGGAAGACTCACCCCATGAGTCCTCCTAGTTTCCTCGTGTGGGTGCTGCTGCCCGCCACAGAAGGGCACTGGGAGACCCAAGTAGCTCTGTGTGCAGAGGGCCCCTTCTGTCACCTCTCCGCCCCTCCGTTGTGTCGCCCCATCATGGCTGCTGGTGGCTGACGTTTCCTGTCTCCCTCCACCAGCGGACGAGGACGATGATGCCCCCAGCGGCCTGTGGCTACCCCTGCGGACCCTGGAGGGGCCGAGCCTGCCGGAACCCGAGCCCTCGGACCTACGAGGGACTATCCCCGCGCCTACATCCTCACCCTCCCCGCCGGCCTCTCCAGCCTCCCCAGCCTCCGTGCCCCCTGCCGCTGCGTTCCCAGGGGCCCTTGGGCCCTCCCCACCCCCCACCGCGCCACCCCCACCCCCCGGGAGGCCCGCAGGGGAGGCCTCCGAGTTTGAGCAGCGGCTGCTGGACTCGCAGAGGCGACAGGGGGCCCTGCTGTCCCACTGGTCCCAGCAGCAGAGCGTGCTGATGGCCCAGCAGAACTGGCTGCTGCAGAGGCTGGCGGAGCAGAGCCAGCGGCTGGCCGACGGCATGGAGGCCCTCAACCGCACCCTCGAGAAGCTGGTGGAGGCCTGCCCGGTGCCGGGAGCCTCGCCCCCCGTCGGGGATGGCACCCCTGCTGGCGGAGCGGCCCGCGGGCCCAGCAGAGGCTCCCGGGGCAGCCCCCAGCGCCCCCACCCGGGGCTGGAGGTCTTCTCAGGGATTATCCTGAAGGTGGAGGAGGAGGTCTGACCCCCGAGGGCGGCACACAGCAGGACTCCAGCCCTTCTGGGAGGTGGGGTCGGGGGTAGCTGGGCGTAGCTGGGCCTCCACAGAGCCAGCGAGGACAAAGGACACCTTCATGCGTTGTCTGTGGGGCTCAGCGATGTGCAGGGAAAGGCTCTGGGGCTGGTGCATGAGTCCTGGGCAGACGTCTACTCAGGGACCTTATGGCTGGAGGAGGCAGAGGGGCAGGGCTGAGCCCAGCCCCCACTCCCATCCTGCTCTCACCGGCTGGGCTGCGGCTGGGCTGCGTGCCTTGGAGGACAGCCTCAGGGGGTACAGCGTCCCCGACCTGGATAGCCCTCCTGCAAGCCTCCTCCTCCTCCTCCTGGTTGTACGGGCTCTGTGGGCTGCGCTCCGACGCTTTCCACGATCCTGCCAAGGGAACCACGTCTTGCGGGCCTGCTGTCATTTCTCCCAGTTTTAGATCTGTGGTGTGATAGACACACGGACACGTATGTGTGACTTGGTACTGTATGGGGTGGGATGCTGTTTTGTACCTACTGATTTTCTCGCAAAGAAGTTATTTTTCTTATGTAAGCATAAAATAACAACAACAACAAAAAAGGCAGTAACCGTGCTGATGACGCCCGCCAACACATGACACGGAGCCCAGTGCTGTTCTCAGCCCCGGCAGGGAGCCCCGAGCACTGGCTGGGTGTTCAGATCTGCTCCATGTGTGACCTGCCACACCTGTGCTAGGGTCCCTCAGGGAGCTGGTGTCCGCCCCGGCCCTGTCACACGGCTCCGCAGGGGCCAGCAGTAGAGGGCAGGGCTCCCTGAGCCCCAGGTCCTCGCTGGTCCTGGGCCGCGTGCCCTTTGCCCATCTCCCCTCGGCTTCCTTCGCCTGACCGCTGTGGATAAAAGTCTTCTCCAGAAGTGGGAGCCTCAAGTGTTGGTGCGGGCGGGACGGTGTGCTGGTTCCCGGGCCCCAGGGAAGCCCAGCATCGAGGAGGGCCAAGACTAGTGTCACCGGCACATTGGGCGGGACCCTCCTCTGGTTTTCTGTGTTCGCCGTGGCCCAGCAGCATGCCAGTAACTTCGTCTACAGAAGAGAGTCTGATCTCCAGCCAGTCGTCCAGCTGCTCCCTGCGACGTGGCCTGGCCGCCATCCCAGCCCCCGCTCCTCCTGTGGGGGCATAGAATGCCATTCGCTGCCCATGGCAGCCTCACTCCGACGGCCCCTCCCTGGGAAGCCTTCTTTCCACTAAAACCTCAGGTCCGTCTTCATGCCAGCTCTTTAGCCTTGTTAATCTTCACTCTGGATGGAGGGGATGGATGGTTCCTGTCCACTAAGAGATGCCCCCTAGGTTGTCATTCACCTCCCTACTGGCTATGAGCGCTGCTTCTCTGTGATTCAGGCTGACAGCTCCAGTCTCAGACCGAGCTCTGATCTGGTCACTTGCTGAGCCCTATGCCTGGTCACCCTCTGGATCCTGACCCTGGTCGCACTCTGAGCCCTGATTCTGGTCATACCCTGAGCCCTGACCCTATTATTTCTGTACTGTGTACCACGAGCCTCCTCTGGCCCTGGCCCCGTACTAGGTGCTGAAAATGCCGAGTGACGAGGGTGGAGCAGAAGCCTGTCCTCGCGGAGCTCGTGGTCGGCTGTAGAAAACAATACTAACAAGTGAATCCATACTGGGGAAGTGTTTCCTGTGTTTAAGTTAGAGCTAGATTTGGCTGCATCTGACAGAAAGCCCAGATGGCACATTTTGGAGCGCACGGGCGGGAGGACTTACTCAGAAGCAGTCCGTGCTTGGTGAGTCTTTGCAGCGGGCGGCTCTGGGGTCCTGGGGCTCACGCGGCCTGTGGGCGCTGCTCCGTCGCGTGCTCGTGGCCCAGGCTGGCTGCAGGCCCCCCGCCACCGCACACAGGTTCCAATCGGCAGGAGGAAGCGGAAGGATTAAGAAAGCATGTCCACTCCTTGAAGGACGTCTCTGCTCGCGTCCCATCCCATGGGCTGGCAGTTAAAATGGGCAGCTGGCCGCCCTGGCCCGGGGGTCTGTGCTAGGACCTCGTGCCCCCGAAGGCAGCGGGTGGCCTTGCTGGTGAAGGTGTGCGGGCGGAGGCCCTAGAGACCACATGGCAGGTGTCAGTGAGCCCCGGAGAGCAGGTGGGAGGGGAGGGGCTGGCAGAGAGTCAGGGCTGAGCTTAGGGAAAAGCAGCCTCCACCCCTGCTGTGGGCTCCGGAGTCGAGGCCTGAGAGCTGGTGCCCCCGGGTCTGTCTGCCTCTGAGGCCCCGGGGCCCCCTCTGTGGCCGGAACCCTGTGCTGCAGACACAGCCTGGGGAGGAGCACGATGGGGACAGCGGAGGCCTGTCAGCAGGCCACGGATCGGCGCGCACAAGGAGGCCGGGCCGCGCCCCAGGGAGAATAGAGCCCCGGCTGGCCTTGCATACAGGGGAGCCCAGGTGGCTCTGAGGTGCCGCCTTCACCCCTGGGGCTCTGGAACCTCCTCTCAGGGATGCATCAGGGGAGCCTGAAGGGCCTCTCGGAAAAAGCTGTGGTCTCGGGTTAGACAGGAGCTGTCAGAGTGTCCTGGGAAGAGAAATCTTGGGGAGCGTGGGAAGGAGGCAGTGAAAGGATGGCCACCCCTCCCAGGTGGGACTGCAGTGGGCTGAGCTCAGCCACCGGCCTCAAGCCTGTCCTGCTCGCACACTCCCTAGCAGCACAGACTCAGGATGGAAGCAAGCAGGTCTCGGGTGAAGCCAGGGTTGGGGTCCCGTCCCAGGTGACCCTGAGCCCAGCAGTGGGGTGCTCGGGAGCAGGTACATGAGCGGGCTGTCCCAGCACAGGGGTCATTGGGGCTCTGGGGCCTGAGGAGGGAAGGGGCATAGAGGGGACAGCGCTCTGAGGACCCTGTGTGGGAGGAGGGGGACAGGGCAGCGAGAGAAGGCAGGAGCAGTCCCGCAGAGGAGGAGAGCGGGAAGACTGCCCTGACAGATGCCAGGGGAGTGATCCGGAAGGGCCGGTGGGGTAGAATGGGGCATCTAGTCCCAGTGTGGGGCATCTAGAAGGGGTCAGTGGCCGTGACAGGAGCCGGTCTGCGGCTCGACTGCACAGAGGTCGGATAGTCCGGGATCGGGAAGACGCTGCAGGTCATCTCTGTGCAGGAGTCTGGGGTGCAGGGGTGACGCCTGGAGCCCGTGTCAGGACCGCAGGCCCTCACCCTGTCCCCTCACCGCGCTGCCTTCCCAGGTGAGGGAGCCTTGGTGTCTCACTCCTGGAGCAGCTGCGGGGTGTGCGGGCAGCCGGGCAGATCTGCCCTCGGACGATGGGGCTAGCCATCCCAGCAGCCCTCCTGCTCTAGAACAGTCTAACCTGGAAACCCACCACCTCCAGTGCTTTGCCGCCTTTCCAGGAAGCAACAAGGGAACTGATCTCCCACGCCCCCATCACCTCCCCTGCAGCCCTGATGGGAAGCGCGGCGTGGGAAGCAAGTTCAGGGCTGATCTGAGACCCCAGACCTGCAAAGCCCTTCATGGGCGGAAGCAGCCAGTGAGGCCTGTGGGAGGCCCACAGAATGAGGGGCCCATGTGACCCCACGGCTGGAGGCCATACTATGTGACGGTGCGGCGGAGCGGAAAGCCGGGCAGGCGGGACCAGTTGCAGAGATAACAGGCCCCATTATGGGTCCAGCTCTGTCCCCAAATGTACATGCTGAGTCCTCACCCTGGGCCCTCAGAGGGTGACGGCCCTTATGCACGCTGACCAGTGTCCTTACAAGGGGAGAGCAGGACGCAGACTTGCACTGGGGGACGACCACGTGAGGACATGGGGAGGGGACGCCGTCCACATGCCTGCAGAGGGGCCTCGGGCACCAGCCCCACCTGCGCCTGGGTCCCGGGCTCGGCTTGCAGCTGCCGGAGCTGGGAGGAGAGTGGTTCCCACTGTCCTGGGCGCCCGGCCTGTGTCCGCTGGGGTGCCGAGCCGGCCGACGATGAGCAGTGCAGCTGCGGGAATTAGCTGGATGTGCCGCAGGTAGTTGCTACGAAATACTTTAAAATAAGATGAAATAACAACAATGGGCGATAAGAGATTATCAAAAGTGACCACGTGTGTCTGAAAAAGATCACCTCCAACTTCTAGAATGAAGAGGTCCGTGGACGGCCACGAGCCTGGGCATCTGGTGGCAGATGAAGTGACAAACGGCGGCCAGAGGGACACCTGGAGCGGCTGGCATGTTGCAGAGCGCGGAGCCCGGCAGAGTGTGGTCACCGGGGCCTAGAAGGCCGGAGTCGGGTGTGGGCCAGGCCGGTGCAGGGCGGGCGCGGGGACACCCTGCAGCAGAAATGTGGCAACTGCTCTCCCAGCCGCGTGGGGAGAAGCCGCGGAGCACCACGGCAGGGCATCCCGTCCGCGTGGAAAGGACGAGTGCGACAGTGTACTTGCTGCCCACGTCACGGCCACAACCAGGGAAAGCGGACGACGGCATGGCCGTGTCTGCGAAGCGTTCCGAAAATAACCGTGAGCGTTCGTCCTGTCGCCAGCAACAACGCCCGGTGAGGAGCGTCCGCGCCGGTGAAAGCCCGGCGGGCTCACCAGGAGGAGGCGCTCCACAGCGGGACGTCTGAAGGGAGGAGGCGGCCCTGCAAGGAACACCTGTGACCCAAGGATGGGGGCTGGGAAGTTGGTAAATATGTAGGCAGAGCCAACCAAGGACTGAAATAATGAAGTTACTTCGTAATAAGGTAGTAATGATGATTATAGTGTCTAATTCGTGGGGCGACAGTTTTGGAGAGCTCAGACCAACACCCAGACAGGTAGTGTAACCGCTGGGAAGAGCTGTTGAAGTATCCTCATCTCCTGTTGTTCGTAGGGAAGTTAAATATGGATTAATTTTGGCTTCTGTTAATAATTACACCGGGTAAAAACTCCTTCATCAAAATGAAAAACTTACACCCCGTGAAGACGCTGGGAAGACAAGCTATTCAGGGAGAGAAGCAGAGGGCCCATATCCTGTATATGTAAAGAGTTCTCTA